GGAAAAAAATGGAAACAAAGTCTTTGCAAATAGGGAAGGGTGGAGGGGGTGAAGGGAGGGCAGGGGAAGGGGGAAAAAAAAGAACCAAGATACTCATGTAATGGTAGAAGATCCCAATGATGAATGTAACTGTATTTTATACCGAAAAGGTACCAGTAAACTTAATGGGGAAAAAAAACAAAAACAAAAAATAAACCCTTCCAGTAAATACCAAAATGAAAAAGCATGGACCATATAACTGCTGCCAAGTGGTTTATAATAAAAAAAAATCAACATCTGCTCTTATTCAAAACGTATCTATTTGAAAGATTTCTAGATCAGTCATTTCCAAAATCAATCCAATGTTTATTATTCTAAAATTATTTTCCCTGAAATTTTACTGGATCATGCATAAAATCCCAAAAGACTGGAAACCACTGATTTATGTAACAAAAGATGGTGAAAAAATAGCTGTTTTTTTAAAAGCTGAAAGTTCAATTTTACTATATTTTGATATTTAAGATCACTAAGCAGGGGTGTATTTAGATGAGTTTGCATTCTATCAATAATTATAGACAATAAGAACCTAAGAAGAGTTCTGTATGATTGTTTATCCTGAAGTGATTTAAATGAATCTGTCTCAAGATTAGTCTCCACAAAGACCCCATTCACCTGAAATTATAATTCCTCAAAAACAGGAGGTATTTGCTTGTGTTTTCAGAGCTGCTCACTATCTGCAGGACTAAAACAGTCAGAACTGCTGTAACAGAGCAGTTATGTGATTTGGAGAATTCAATTTCAATATTTGAAGGTAGAGTCATGGTGGGGAAAATGATGAATTTATTCACCAAGATGAACAGTAACTTTCATGTTATCATGGCATCAACTTATATTATTACTGGCATATAGTCCCACAGACTGTTCAGTATGGAGTTTAGTGAAAATGAAAGTCCATCTAATTCAAAACAGTTTAATAAAGAGTTTCCCTTACTTTTGGTAGCTTCATTAGATGAAATAGCTTTTTCTAGTTGGAAAGCAGCATTCCTCTCATCTTCACTGCTAACAGGAACATGATCTGGTTTCCGTGCAGTTTCATCTGTTTGAACCACCTTTAAATATATGTGTATATATTTATTAACATTACCACATCCCACATTTAACTTTGGTTACTATTTATGTGTTTTATCAAATAGATCATAAAGAGAAAATATTTCCTCCATATATATTTTAATCAGATTATAATCATTACAATCCAATGTATTTTACATCTTCCTTAATAAGCAATATTATTTATGTATTTGTTTATTATCTGCCATCTCACATTGGCATGTAAACTCTATTAAGAACAGGGCTCTTTACCTTGTTCACTGAGATTTCCACGATGTCTAAAATAAATCACTTTTATATTACATGTTAAAAGTATTTTTTGAACAGTTTATACAGATTTCTTAAAATTTCACAATAAAATGAAGTTCATATTAAAAAATTTCATTCTAACAAATCTACTTTATCTTAAATCATACCACTGTAATAGCACAGAGCTATTTTATGTAGTAAAAGAAATTGAAGAAATCTTCAGAAAATAACCCTTAAGGGCCAGGGATTTAGCTCAGTGGCTTCACCGCCTGCTATGCAAGCACAAAGACCCTAGTTCAATCCCGGGTACCAAAAAAAAAAAAAGAAAAGAAAAGAACCCTTAAATACGGATTTTTGGCAAGAAATTCCATCTAAAAGAATGTCTTCTTTCATATATAAATGTAACATTACTGAGGGTGTACATATCACAAATAATTTATCCTTAGAAATTACTCATTGGATAACTCATGAAAGCAGTAAAGTCAATATTGTGCATCAAAAAACCAGCTTTATCATTACTTCATGTCCAACTGATTCCTAGCTGTAGAGTCTGTGACTAGAAATGTTAGCTTCAGTGTGAGCTGCTTTAGGGAATTGTTTAAAAACACCATAATTCATATTAAAACAATAGCTAAATTGCTCAGGAAGTTTTAGTACCACTGAACTTTGACACAAGAAGCAATCCAAGCCAGAAAACATATTGAAGCAAGAGCAGTAATGCTCAATAAAGTTACTGAAGCATGTTTCCTTGGCTTCTAGTCTAGTTTTGTCAATTGAAAGATGGGTTGGGAATCTTCTTTATATGAGACTTCTGCCTATGCTTATTCTATATTTATTCTTTATAGGCTACATGTCATGAACACTTCATTCATCAAACTGTCTATTTGTGTGAAATCAACTGCTTATAAGACTTGTTTTTCCCTAAAATAAAAATGTAAAATGGAAGACTGCACACACCCTTCTTCCTTGAATCTTGTAAGGAGGCAGTCCTTATTTCACCTTTTCTGGTATAACTAAAGGATAAGAGTAAGAAAAAGTTGTGCCGTGGATGATTTTTAAAGTGCATAAAAGAGAAGCACATACTTTACTTGTGAAAAAGAAAAGTACTTAATGTTTTTAAACTTTCATATCTACACTGCCTACAGTTTTTCTTTATGAATAATCTGCATCTCTTTTCTTTCCAAAATATCTGCTGGGCAAGATCCCAATCCTAGCTACGTTATATCCAATTTTCCCCTGATCTTGCACTACAATCCCACCCAAGAAACTAAATGTGGCTGAAGCCACAGCTTTATTTAGTGGAATATATTGTTTATTACTATTAAGTGGATCCTCTGTGCCATATCGCAATTTTGCTGTATCTTTCAAGTGACTTTTCTATCCTTCTCAGCAATTATTTCATACTTTCTTTGTTCTGCTCTAATTTCCTTACCTTCTTGTCTCCTTCACTCTGAGCTACTAAGCCTGCTTCTATTTCAACTAAGAAAATAACCTTTTTTTCTCTTCTCACATTCCAATTTCAATCTGTTAGAAATTCACTGAGTACTATTGGAAAGTATAGAGACTCCAATCCTTTCTTGTCACATTCCCATTATCTACTACTTCATTCCAACCACTCATGTGTTGCCTATATTATTGTAGTAAATTCCTAGTTGCTTTTCCTGCTTTCTCTGTGTCCCATACTCTTAAAAGCCAGAGTCCTCCTTTAAAACACAAGTCATATTGTGTTACTCCTCTGCTTAAAATCCTTCATTTGCTTATTTCACAGTAAAACACAAAATAGTTTTCACAACTCAACCACCTCTCAAATCTCACTGCTTCCCACTCTCTCCCCTAGGAAAGTCCAGGTCTGAACAGGCTTTCACTGCCCCTTTCTCTGTACTTGTTTCTTCTGGACTGCTCCCTCATCAGATATTAGCATGACTCATCCCTCACTTCCTTCCAGTTTCTGTTCAGATTTTAACATTATCAGAGGCTTTCCCTTTTCATCTTGTATAAAATGATATCAGAGCCAACATTCTTTTCCTTATTTTAACTTTCTTAGCACTTATGTCTTCATTTCAATGTTATATATTTATTGGCATTTTAAAAAAAAATCATCCTTCTCCATCCCACTGGAATATAATCTCCACAAGACAAGTACTTTGCTCACTGTGGAATTCTCCAGGTTGACAATGAAACCTGACACAAGCAGAAGTTCAGTAACCATTACATAAATGAATTTCTAAACTTACCTTATTGGATGGCTTAAATTCCTGAATCTTTACTTTTGAAAGAATATTCATGAGGCCATCTACTGTTAAGTCCTATTTTAAAGAAAGTAATTTAATCAACAAGCATATTGTTCTAATTCTGAATTCTAAAGCTAGACATCCTGTAAAAGGTCCTTAGTCATTCCAAACTATGTGAATATCTGTCATCTGAATATTCTGACTATTCCATTTGCCTTTATTTCTATAAAAGTAACAGCCATAATTAGCAAAACAAACCTGAAATCTCTCAAAACTATACTTAACCCTTCATCTGTTATCAGTAACAATGGTGTGTTAAGAGTATGAGTATGCTGATAAGGGAGAAAGGTCGACACATGAAGCATTTTTAGATTTCATAATGATAATGTCTAGGAATATTTTTAAGTTGCTATGAAATGGCTCATTGTGGCTTTTTTAGAATAACTAGGATAGCTGGATCTGATAAACAGGTTATAAATATTTTAAAAATAAAGGACGACTGCATTAAAATATAGCTGTCTCATTACTTAATTCAGAAAGAAAAATCCAACTTCTGCTTAATAGTGCAATGAATGTTTATATTCTGTTGAATTAGAATGGGCAATAAGACAACAAAATTAAAAATTTACAGTACATAGAATGACATATCATTAAAACACATTTTGATTCAATTAACTAATTCTAAACCAGTTGTGCATCAATGGCTACAGTTTGAAGAATATCTTACCTTTTCTACAAATGGAATGCAGTATACTGCAGCATAAAGTTTTGCAGCACTCTGAAGGAAACTGAGGTGCCTTTTGAAATTAAAATATAAAGCCAAGTTTGAATGCAGTCTTTGAAGGTATTTAATTCCTTAGCAAATTCAGCTTTTAAAATTATAATTGAGGAAAAATCACCACAGATTTTTTTTGTTACAGGATTAATTTTTAAAAGACAACGAAATTCTAATCTAGACCAAAACATTACAGAAGCTATAGAAGGGAAAATGTCAGATGTTTAGCCTTAAAAACACTAGTAATATTCAGGTAGTCATCACAACTACTTTGAGGCAAGAAGTGATTGGAGCATAAAAATTAGACTAGTGCAGTGATGGCGAAACTTTTAGAGCTTTCAATGACAACGAACAGCTGGCTGCAGCATGTGTGCCACAGGTTTGCCACCATTGGACTAGTGGAAGAAAATTCACTTTAATTTACAAGAAAATATTATATGCTAAAGAGTGTATATTAGGTTCAAATGAGTTTGTTTACAACAGACAAAGAAATGAGTTTATAAACATAAAAAGCTTACGCCTTATAGGAGAAGCAGTTCAGGATAAGGTGACTGGCAGACTAAAACAAGCACCTTTTGAGAAAATTAACCAAAGAGCTATTTGCTGAAAGGAAGATTAGTGAAGGCAAGTTAAGTGTATTTTGTTTTCATGGTACCACGAATTGATCTCTGGGTCTTCTCTATATCTCTGGCCACTTTTTTCAGTTTTTGAGACCCGGTCTCACTAAAGCTGCCCAGGGTGGGCCCAAACTTGCAGTCTTCCTGCCTTGCCTCCTGAGTGCTAGAATTGCAGGCATGCGCCACCATTCCTGGCTAGGTTAAGTGTTTAAAATATATGCCCCTGAATATAAATCTAATGCGTGCATGTAGGTATTTCTGCAGAGACCAGCTCCTTTGAAAGCATTTGAGATCACTTAGGGAGATACTCAGTAATAACTCCTTCCTCCACATAACTAAAGATCCTTAGCTTTATTAAATACAAAATGTTTACTGTCATTTTACTTTTTTGTGGACAAAGTCAAAGAATTGATTTTGGCTTTACCGTAGAATAGATACCATAAATAATGAAATTATCTACCATGTAAATAAATGCATTTACATTTGTGTAGCAACAAAGATTGTGACTGAACTCTCTGAATAACAGGGGTATAATCATTTAACATTAAAAACTCTGCAATGTACAGTTAAAAAATTTATATTTATACTCACAAAGGCTCATTTAAGTCAAATTTTAATGGAGACGGTGGCCTCTTTGGTGATTGCCAAAACAAACCTAATGAAAAACTATATTAGTCTCAACATATATACATATACATCAGTAAGAAATTAAGATAAAAACTTCTTAACACTTGCTTATACTTACTGCCATCTTTTAATCGTGTGTCCAGAGGAAAACAGTGAAGAAGCTGAAGCGCCTAAAGAAAAATAAAATGAAGTAAAAATGAAATGAATGAATGAATGAAAAATGAATGAAATGACTGAAAAACAAAATGAATTATTTAATATTATCTGAGCAAAAACATTTTCTAAAATTAAAAGTAAAAATTTTTTATGTGTTGTAAATATAAACATATGCTTCATAAATCCAAACACATGAGCTTTTCCTCATGAGTCAGGGTCAAGGAGCAGGCGTTTGTTCTCACCACTCTGACTCAACACAGCATTTCAACATAGTATTTCTGAGTCTGCAGACTCTACCAAAAGACTTCAAACTAAACAGACAACACAGTAGGAGGATACAAAATATAAAAATGGGGAACTTTTCCATTCAGCCATGAGAATTCAATGAGAAAGATATCAGGAAAACAAGCCCATTCATAATAGCCTCAATAAAATCCAAACAAACACAAAGCCTACCAATAAACCTAACCAAGGAAGTGAATGACCAATTCAGTGAAAATTAGAAAGTGAAGATACAACGAATACTTACCTCTGTTCATGGATTGTGAGAATATGGTTAAAATGGCCACACTACCAATTTAGTGATACCCATTAAAACACCAATAACAGTCTTTACAGAACTAGGAAAAACAATCCTAAAATTCATTTAAGCATGACATACCCAAATTGCAAAATTAATCTGAAGCAAAAAGAGCAACACTGGAGGCATCATCACAATATCTTATTTGAAAATATACTAAAAATTTATAGTAACAGAAAGATATGACACAAAAAGACATGTAGATGAGGGAACAGAATAGAGGGCCCAGAAATAAGCCCACACATCTACAACCTCAACAAAGGTGCCAAGAGCATATGCTGGAGAAAATAATAGCCTCTTCAGCAAATGGTGTGGGGAAAACTGGACGTCCAGATGTGGAAGATGAAAATTTCATCTATCTCAGTACAAAAACCAACTCAAAATGGATCAAAGACTTTAAAACATGAATCTACTGAAGAAAACACAGATAAAACACAAAACACTTCAAGATACTGAAACAGGCAATGATTTCCTGACTATGACTCAACAGCCTAGGAAATAAAAGCAGGAATTAACAAATGGAATTACATCAAATTAAAAAAGCTTCTGCACAGTAAAGGAAACAACCAACAGAATGAAGAGAAACAACCTACAGAATGAGAGAATATCTTTATTAGCTATTCATCTACAGAGGATTAATATCAAAATTATACAAAGAACTAAATGAAAACCAACAATAAAAGAACAAGTAATCCAATCAACAAACAGGTAAATGATCAAAGCAGATACTTCTCTCTCTTCTTTTTTTTGAGACAGGGTCTCGTTATACAGTTCAAGCTGGCCTTGAACTCGCTATGTAGCACAGACTGGCCTTGAACTCATGGCAATTCTCTTGCCTCAGCTTCTCAAATGTTGAGATTACAGGAGTGTGCCACCATGGCTGACTCTAGATACTTCTCAAAAGAAGTACAGATGAACAGTAAATATGAAAAGATGCTCAAAATCTTTAATCATCAGGGAAATGAAAAAACTGTACTGATTCCACCTTACCCCAGTCAGAATGGCTATTATTATAAAGATAGTAGCTATAATAAATGCTCAGAGGATGTGGAGAAAAAGGAACCAGTATTCCACTATTGGTGGGAATGTAATTTAGTACAGTCACTACATAAAATAATATGGAGGTTCCTCTAAAAACTAAAACTAGAACTACCACATGATTTAGCTATACCATTGCTAGGTATAAACTCAAAAGTAATGAAGTCATCAGACAAGACAGACATCTACATATGCATGTTTAATGAAGCATTATTCACAGTTGCAATATATAGAATCAGTCCAGCTGCCAGTCAATAGAAGAACAGATGAAGAAATCATGCTACATATCCACAATGGAGTATTGTTCTGCCATTATGAAGAACTAAATCATGTCCTTTGGAGGAAAATGGATGGAGGAAGACGCTGAATCAGCCCACTGCAGACAGGCAGGTCTGTGCACGCCCTACTGAGGTCCTGAGTCACGCGGAAGACACCGAATCACCCCACTGCAGACAGGCAGCCACCTGATTCGACATTACCAAGGCGCAGAGGACACCAGACCACCAGACCAAGGTACTGAGTCCCACTGTTCCCG